ATTTAACAAAACGGTAACAAAATTAATTCCATCCCTCTCCAGCTCATTAACATGTTACCGCCTTGAAAAAATCGATTGATCACAAATTAACGAAAAAATATATGAAACAATGGTTTATGGCTCTCATTGTTAAGTTAATTTAAAATCCAAGCTAGTATTCAATCTGTTTAATACAATGAATATTGGACGTACATTTAAAAAAAAAAAAAAAAAACGCTGACTAAAACTTAATCCGTGTCCACGTCAGAATAAGTGTATTTCACTTACGATACTTTTGCCTCAGCTGAAAATATATACGATAGAGATTTTTCCATGTTTTAAGCTGTTACAAATGTATTATTGTTTATCTTCATCGTGTTGTCGAGACAACTGGTCAAGTTCAAATCGGACGGTTTACATTTTAAAATACATTAATCAATAATTGTATTACATGTCACGCAAAATATATACAATCCAATGAAGAATTTAATAAGAAATCAATAAATATTGCCATGCCTGAGTTGGCTTACACGACACTTTTGTAGGTAAAATACATTTATTCCACAGAATTGAGACAGTTATTGCAATGTAAATGATCGTTTCATTCACACTTGATACAAGCTGATAAGATAACAGCCCCAAGGCACACGTAGTAGCCAAGCGCGTGGCCGGAGCGTTATTGACTCCAACTGACCACTCTATCGAGGCGGTAATAGCATCAGGTGTACACAGCACTTTGTTAACTGTGAGTCAATTGACCACCAGAGTGACCAGTCTGTATCTCTACTGGAAGGAAATAACGATATGGGCCGCAGCATTGAACTATGATTTATATACTTTAACTTCCAAACGTAAAGAGTTGATAGTTCTTTTAAAGATATTTATAGACATTTCGGAAAGTATGTACTATTTATTACAATGTGTTACTTCCAATATACTTGTAAGTGTTTTCAAACAAAACGTCGGAAGACTATTTTTAAAAAGTGCATGGGTACTGACCATGACTGTATTTAACCAATTCTGCGCGAATTTTTTTTATACTATGTTATCGAAGGTACAAAATTAATGCATTATTTTCTATCAGTTCCGTAGATACTGTGTGTTATAAAAATGTTATTCACCGTTAAACAGAAATATAACAGTTTCTATCAGTTCCATAGGTACTCTGTTATAAAATGTTATTCACCGTTAAACAGAAATATAACAGTTTCTATCAGTTCCATAGGTACTCTGTTATAAAATGTTATTCGCCGTTAAACAGAAATATAACAGTTTCTAGCGGTTTCATTGGTACTGTGTTCTACAATGTAATTCACTGTTAAACATAATCAAAGTACATAACTGTGTTACACAATGTAATTATAACAGTATTTCCTAGCAGTTCCGTAGGTACTGTGTGTTATACAATGTGATTCACTATTACACAAGAATGAGATATTTTTTAAAAGTTCCGAAGGTACTGTGTGTTATACAATGTAATTCACTGTTAACAATGAAAGCCGTTCCCTGTATATTTTACAGTGTCAAACATCATACAAGATTTTATACATCATATTATACATTACAATACACTGCTTAACATACCAATGAGTAAACAATGTTTCGTCTGCTGTATTCAACAATGTATCTATCTCAATTTCAAGTATTTTCCCCCGCATATTAAGAAATGATATATTTCATTACCGAACCATTTCTCACTTTTCCTATATTACAAAACAAAATAAAGTTTTGCTGATGTTTTAAAACTATTTTTCAGTATCACACTATATAGGTTTTGTCCAATAATGTTGTACTTTTGTCTTGTAATTTGAAACAATGTATTGTTTTGTTTAATTAGATAGTATTTTTAGGTAACATCATGGAAAATTGTTTTTTACAATACGTGTATATCGTATTTTCGAATACCACGAAATTCATAAATCAAACATGTGGTTTGTATTTTACCCTTTTTTCCAATAACGTTTATCATGAATAATTAAAACAATAATTTGATGATGATGATGATGATGATGATGATGATGATGATGATGATGATGATGATGATGATGATGCATTTGGTCACTTCTTTGAACTTCGTATTGTTTTATATCTCTTACGGTAAAATTGGGATGTAACGCTGTTACATATTATCACCGGAACCTGAGAACGTGCTTTCATTATTTGGAGCTGATTCTTATTTGAAATAGTTTATTTATGTACGATAGAATATATTTCATTTCCTTAATCCCGATCTTCCTTAACTGACTTGTCTTCACATGTATATCAGAAATATAGAATTGACAGTCGCATAAATTCCTCCCACGAATCATTTTATCGTACTAAACAAATTATTAACACCAGTAAGCCTTTAAACTGGATTTATAACTTATTCACAGCTAGAAATTGCAAATATTGAAAACTATATTTAAAAAGATAACACATGTTATATAATGATGCCTGCGAATTGATTATGTTATAGCGGAGTTACCTAATCCAGGCTTTACGATTCAATGATATAATATCGATGCAGTACGAATTGCCTCCCCTTGCCCTATAGGCATCGTTACGTATTGAGCACGAGCGCGTACCGTTATCACAATATTATTGTGTAAACACGAGCCGATCTGGGATACCTTCTATAAACAAACACACGTGCCTGGTATACATCATGGTCTCTGGACGCTTATATCCTCGTTTCGTCCAGATTGACCACTGGTCAAATAAATAAATAAAGTTTCAATGGTTATGTTATTTACTAAGCAAAGCACATTGGAATTATTACTGTATTGTTTTATTTAACTATTTGAGGTATATACATTAAATAAAAATCCGTATCTATATGCAATAAAACAAATCCCTTATCTGTTGCCTATATAATGAATTTTTCTGGGAACATCATGGTCAAGCAGTACTCAAGCTAGATTTCTGAATAGCCTAATCAATGTGTCAGAAACTATATTATATATGTAGGAAACGCAGTCATGTTTTTGGAAAATAATAAAACAATTTGGGATTATTTCACTGCCGTGGTCAGTTTGTGGTCCAATAAATTGTTTAGCATTTTCTCTTTAACCATCAAATTCAAAACAGTCTCGCGCGTATTGGTCAGCGCAGTGGTCAGTGAGATCCACTGGTCAGCTGATAGTAGGTCACGAGGCCAATAAATAATTAGCACCTAACAGTCTTCACCTGGGGCGATATCGCATCGTCTGGACACACACTGGTCATTTCGGGTCAGTATAGAATCGCTCCGGCCAGACGTACTGGCCGAAGCTTAATCGACCGTAGCTAATCCAATGTTGTGATAATTGCTGTTGACCGCACAGCTGGAAACGATCACCTCACTCAATACCGGGGAAGATAAGCCGCTAGGTTCCGTTATGGTCAAGCTTGTCCTTAGCTGACCCTTACCTTGACCTTAGGCTAGAGTACTAGTGGACAAGCGTGTCCTGAACTGACCTCGCTTTCCGCGCGCGGATAAGGTACACATTATATAGGCTTCTAGTTGCAGGCTTTTGCAACCAAGAGTTTGGAGATACACTTTAAAAAAGTTCATTTCAACGCCATCAATATAAAATTATAATATAAAATTTGAGCGTGGCTTATATATCATGTGATTTATCAACGTTTTCTCTCTTAGTGGAGTACTTTTATATATATATCTCATCACTCGATACCAATCATTAATTCTTTGACAGTGTTCCGTGAACCACACAGATATTTCACGCGGGTGACTTATCTCGGTGCTATAAAACTGGAGAAAATTACAGGAAGTCTGCCTTATTCTACATTGTGTGTCCAAAGATTCAATCATGTAGAGATGAAAGCAAAAAAAAAATAATCCGATTTAACTATAAGTGTTAAAAGGCACAATTTTACTGCATCCGTGTCCCGTTGGAGTATCTACATTACTATATATGCGCAACCAACACTAGTAAGTATAATTATTGTCACTTTTTTCCCTTTATTTTCAATGTTTGATCTACCAAGCAAAGCCGCCGGTAGCAGTTCCTCTGTTTAACCCGATACAATTTATTCGGAGTTAATATTGAGTATCATGCAGATTATACATATGGAATCGTCTGGACAGTGTGTTTTTTTAAACTCAACTTATATGTGATGACCTAACAAATAGTAAGAACATTGCGAGTACATGATCGACATTGTTTTCCTGTGCGAGTCGACCAGTTTTACACTAGTGTGCACAGCCATGCTATATAGTGACCATACCTCTTTCTACCGCCCTGGCAAGCTCTGTGCAGGAATACTGCCCATGATGTAAACCAGCGTAATGTTGCGCACACCTATCACCCCCTTGGTTGAAGTAGACTGTGCCGGTCGACGGGGTCATTTGCCTGTAACCCATATTACGGGCCACCACGCTTCAGTTGACCGCAGTATTTCCCGGCGTACTGACGACATCCTCGCGGTTACTTTTTAGCAAAATATGACTATCATTTAAAAAGTAACAGACCAATTGTCAAATATATACTTACTTTCATAAATGTGAAGTCGCTGGTCATAGCAGTCACTGACTTAACAAACCAGTCCGCGGATTGTATACACTGGACTGAAAAATGTTGGCTTACCAGCACCACATGTTTCTCAGTATGTGTTAAGGCTCATATACTGATTGTGTTGTTGTTCACAACAGGAAAAGTAAGGAAGGTGTGGATGAAGTGACCACAACACAAGGTTTATCATTAATAAACACTTTTTCTTTCTTATTTAACATTGGATGGTACGAGTAGCTACACATTTACCTGTGTAGTGGCTAACTGGTCAATCGAGTTGTTTATTTACGTGTGAGCGGTCAGTGGCTCGGGCGACCTCAAGTGACCCTGGTGGCCAGACGCATCGTGTCCTCATGAGGTGAAGGGTGTATGTGGAAGACAGAAGAAGCAGGGATAAGTAAATTTAAGGAAGGTGCTGGTCGAGTTTTCCCATGATTCAGCTTACACAGTCCGCCATCTTTGTTGATAGTCTTTGTCCAGATGTAATACTTTGGTGGAGATCACCGTTTTAATGATCAAATCAACGCTATGTCGCGACGAAAACAGGGAAGACCGCAACAGAGGAAAGCACTGGACTCACGTAAGTAATTTTTACACCCAGAAATGTGTAGAAAGTTGTTTTATTCACTGTCAAACTGAGGCCATTTTTCTGACCAGTTCAATGGACACGGTCCGTACACTTCGCGCTGAGGCAGGACCAGACGGGCCTAGCCGCTCCCATGTTGCACCAAGTTACGTAGATCACTAAGCTGGGGTCTGTTTTCACAATTAAAACACAGGATCTTCAATTCCATCACGTGCTATGTTGTTTTCAAAGAAATAGAAAACTTAAAGGTTCACAGGTGAAATACCGAAAGTAGCCACGCTGAAAACATACTATGTGTCAAAAAAGGTCACCACAGGAATGTCTCTTGTCTCGTAACTCCAATAACTTGCTTTTAAAACTTTTGATCAAAAATGGCAGTTTGATTTTTAGTTAATTTTAAACACGTTGTTTTTGTTTATATATTCCTATACTATTTGAAATACAGGTAAAACTAGTTAAAATGAGCTCCCGCCGCTAAACTGACGAGAGGCGTTCATAGAAACAGAATATGACGCTCGTGTGTGGTTTAAAGATTGTTGAACAGGGAATCACTGTGAAGAAAAAAAATATTTTCATGTCTGATGAAAACGACAACATCATAACGAGCATTTTAGTTTTACCGGAAAACTAATCGTTCAACCAATGAGATAACACTGATTGGGGTATTGTAGTCTGACTTGGTGCTCTGTAGCTGTACTTCTTTCCATTCTGCTTTCATTCCTGTTTCATGGACTTTGTAACACTTCTAAGTGAGTATTTGGTGAGTTAAAACATTATTTTACTAATTAGTGATATTTTTAAGAAGCTGTCAAGTATTTTAGAGTAATTTGTAACAAATATTATGAACCTGCATTCTCCTATTTATCAGTTGAAATAGCGAGCACTGACGTTTTCAGACAGACGTTTGTGATGATATCATATTTTGATATTAGAGATCAGTTTCTTCTTAAAGATTTCGAAAATTGACAGCATATATACTTTGATTTTTATTTTTATTACATAAATACATGGGACATGAAAGGAGTTAATTTTAACAAACACCTCAGCTAGGAGATATTGATAGTTATAAATGATACATCTGTTTTTATCATTGAACATTCAAGTTATCAGTCAATGTCAGTTTAATTTTTCAGACATGACTTTTTTGTTAGATGACAAGCAAATAATTAATTGGATTGTTTAACACATAATGATTTCCTTTGAAGATTTGAATCTTCAAAATCTTCAATCAATTTTATTTTTAAATTAACATTACTGCACGATAATGACAACAGGGAAATTTGATACAATATAGGTTTTATGGTGACCATCAGGAAATTATGTAAAATAATTGATAATTATTTATGAACATACAATGTATAACAAAAATTATACAATGTATATGTAGATTACTGGGCCTCAGTTTTCTTTTTTTTCTTTTAAATTACTATTTACATTTTGACTAGTAAGTTTGAATATAAATAATGTTTTTATGTTGCTATCATCTTGATATCTAATATATATGTATTTAAGTTGGTACATTTTATCTATGAGGTAAATTTACTTATTTACTTATATTTATATATATTAACTATTTCTTCTGTCGATGAGCACCTGTTTTTAACATGTGTTTGTTAACTTGCCAAAGTCATTAAAAATAAGGTAAGGGTGTATAACTATTGTGTATATTCTTAACCTGTTTCATTAAATGTTAAAATTATCATTAAAGGTAAAAAAAGGATTAGAATTAAGGTTGAAAATTTATCTTTGATGGGTCCTGTTGATTGCTTAAAAGTCAGGGCCAAGGTGGTATGAAGAAACTCCTTTTATAAACAAAACTTCTGTTTGTTGTTTCTCAGCTGTAGTAAAAGCATACCTGTGTCACTTTTTATTAATATTCAAACAAGAGAAGGTACTTTAAAATATTTTTCTGCTGTGTATGATTTTTTTAAAAGAACTCAGGAAATGATGTAAGCATTTGAAATAAGTTCAGATTCACAGTGTTAGCCACTTGAAATCTATTCAGTAGTAATCCCCTTCCCAGACAGTGTAAACCTAGTAGTTTTCAGGTTCTGTTTGCTTACTGCACCAGTGGTACACCGGCCCGCTAGGCTAGTTGGTGTGGGTACACATTAGGAGTCAGGTCATGTGTAGGGGTTACACAGAATTGAGTAATGCTAGATAAGCAGTGAGGACCCAGTTATATGGCTGACCCCTCACGTAGGTCCTGTTCTAAATCTCATATTTGTCGACCAGTGCGCAGCTTTTCTTTGGCCTGCGCACTTGTGCCGATAGCCTCACACCGATAGCCTTGTCACCTGAGCGAGGTGCACACATCTACCCTATGTCCTGCAGTACCCAGCACTTGCACCCACGCCTGCGTTGCGCAGTAACACACACGAGCCGGACCTTCCTGGTTTAACTATGTGGCCTGAACTATTACAGTATTACTCATTTTGTTGTTCAGAATAAATAATTAGAAAGTGTGGTAACGTTCCATAGATTTCAATTCTTTTTAAAATATAAAAATATTGACACACGTCTGCGCTGAGTATTTACAAGCTTTTCCATATGAAATTATAAGTAATCTGATGATGGTGCTGAGGATTGGTTGGTTTTTTGGAGAGGGATATGTTTATGACCAGGAAATCATGATATGGTTTTAGCATGGGGGTGTCTCGATAGTCGACTTTCTGTGCACCACTGGTGTATATATGTATGCACCTTGTGCAGTGGAGTGGATAGGTGTAGTTTGAAACTAAAACACCCATTTTATTGTGGATCAATGGAGACACTTGGTATTCAAGGTTGACAGAAGGACAGGGTACCATGTAGAAAGGTCAGGAAGGCCACCATATACAGACAAGCATTAAGGTTTTTAAGGTAGGGTCTGTTTGGGGTGCACTAGGCCAATAGAGGAAACTGCTGCTAAAGTCTATTAGCAGGTTTGTTATAGGTCATGTTAGAAAGGAAATTTAAGAATAAAAAACAGAAAAAAAGAATGGCTAGAGTTTTACTTCTTCACCAGGTGACATACAAAACTGTGGTGAAATAAACCTACATCTTATGAACATTTATCTCTGAAAGTTAAGTACTTCCTGAAAAAACTGGCTTGTCCCCTCCATGGCCCCAGGGGTGGGTGTTTGGTGCAGTGCAGATTCGCTGCACCGATTGGTCAGCTGCAGGAATTTTTTGAAAGACTCCTGCGGCTTTAGTGTTATATTTGAAGTGATAACATGCCTTACATTTGGTATATTTTTGATCAACTCGGGGTGACATGCAAGCAGGGTTGCCTGGTTTTTAACCTTGGCTGTGGAATTTGAGACCGTTAGGCAATCACAGTGTTGTGTAGCTGTAGGGAGGGGGAAAGTTAGATCATCGCCAGGCTACCAGATGGAATAGAGGCTAAAAGAGGCCCTGTCGGAAATATTTTGTCTGCATGGGCAGCCTGGTTCTCATGGGGGTCCTGCCAGAGTTGGAGGAGGTTGGATTGGGGGAGGGGAAATATGGGAAAGCATGGTTAGGTACAGACGCAGAAGAGGTCAGAGTTCACCGTTCAAAGGTGTCACACTGCCAAAATGTTCATGGCTTTTTGGTCTGTAAAATTAAAAAGATGTCTGTTGGTCATGGATTATCTTGGAAAATTTAGACCAATTAGATAACTTTGAGTAAGCAATTGCTCCTAGACAGCATAAGTATGTTGTCAGTCTTTGCTAATAATTTATAGAATGTTGTTGTCTATAGTGTCACACAAACCCAATTTGTTTTTTACCTTACCTGATGGTCATTTTTGGGGTTTCTTTTGTGTCCTTTAAAATTTTGGATCAAGATCAAATGATGAATATTTGAACAAAATTTAAATAAAAGCCGCTTCCTTCATATTGAAAAGAAACTGTATTCAGATACAAAAGGAAGACTTTATGTTATGACGCATAATGCAATTAATATAAGGAAGACTTCTATTTTAACGATCTATCGTAAAGGTGTTAAGTCATGTGACCATCGTTAACAATGTTCTTGGTTAGGCCGGAGTTCAGCCTCATCTCCAACTTGCATCTGTCATTGAAGAAGTCGGTGACACATGGTTGCCATGGTGTTGCTTGGCCTCTGCCAACTCATGATTTATTTGTGGGGAATTTCAATGTATTTGATGGATTGAAAATAGGAAAAAAAGGCCTGATGCAAGATATTAGGATAGGGTTTTACTTCTTTTGACCACATGGAACCTTAAAGACTCAATCTGTTCAATTTCTATATGAATATTCACATAGTCCGGCAAGAAACAGATATTATAATTAGTTAAAAAATGTTCAAACATGTGAGTGAAACTTCATGTTTGAAAATTTTCAATGTTACCCCAGAAAGAGAAATATAACAATATTTGTAGACCTTCATGTATTTTTTCTTTATTTATTGGCACTTGTTTAATGAATCAAGCAAAAAGATGTAATAGTGACAATGAATACTTAAGATCAATCTGATTCGTAGTAGTTTAGTGATTATTTTCCTAGTATTCCAATGTTTTCTGTGAGTTGTAGATTATAAGTAGGAATAACAGGGTATTACCTTCTTCCCCATCACTTTTTTTGCCTTCAAGTGATGGCAAATATTGTGTGTGAAATTATGTAATAATATCTCTGTAAATGACGATAAAGTTTCTTTTGACAGAGTTCTGTATCTAAAGTGCTGACAGAGTTCTGTATCTAAAGTACTGACAAAGTTCTGTATCTAAAGTACTGACAAAGTTCTGTATCTAAAGTACTGACAGAGTTCTGTATCTAAAGTGCTGACAGAGTTCTGTATCTAAAGTGCTGATAGAGTTCTGTATCTAAAGTACTGACAAAGTTCTGTATCTAAAGTGCTGACAGAGTTCTGTATCTAAAGTACTGACAGAGTTCTGTATCTTAGGTAAAGACAAAGTTTTGTACAAAGTGATGCATGAATGGTGACAAAGTTCTGTATCTAAAATTCTGACAAAGTTCTGTATCTAAAATACTGACAAAGTTTTATAAATG